ACCCCCCCCCCTGGGGGTGGGGCGAAATGTTCCCTCGCCTCCCTGAGCCCGGGGGTGGTGGCCTTCTGCTGCTAGGGGCAAAATCCGCCTCTCGGGTGTGACGTCCGAGAGAGGTCATTCTGGCTCCCCCACCCCTCAAGGGGCTCTTTAAAGAGATATGGCGGCTGCCACGGCGCCTGCAATGGCAGGGGGGGGGGAATGTTCCCTCGCCTGCCTGAGCCCGGGGGTGGTGGCCTTTTACTGCTAGGGGCAAAATTCGTCTCTCACGTGAGGCAACGCCAATTCCACACTTTTTATGTCACACTAGACAGAGCCTCTCCAATAAGCAAATAATACACATCACACCACGTCCCGCCCCTAAAGCGATATGATTGGTCGCTCTAATGGATGTTGCCTAGACAGCGAGAGGAGAGAGGAAACCGACATGGCGGCACCTTGGCAAGCTTTGCGGCGCCTTCTGCGGATCTCGGGAAACCCAACCCCCAGTGAGTGAACTGAGCTGTTTTCAGAGCTTAACCTGGCTAGAAAAGAACGGGGTGCGGAAAGAGAAAAGGGCCCCCGCCCCGGGCAACCTGGCTTCTCTTTCTGTCGTTGCGTGTGAGGTTTTTATACCGGTCTCTTGCATGTGACCTTCAGATTCGGTCTTCATTCACTGCCGCAGCAACGCCTCGTTTTCTCTTTGCTGAGCCCGATGGCTGGGGTGTAGCAGGCTGTAGGAGACATATTGGCGAGGAAGCTTTGTTGTTGAGCGAGCACGGAGTGTTGTGATAACACTTGAATGGGCCTTCATGGATAGCGGCTACCGACTGCAGGTTTTCCCGCCAGGGGTATGGTTTGAAGGCACAGGATATGCTGCGCTGAGATTAAGCAGTTTAGGGTGGGTATGGTTAGTTCGGGGATAGGAGACTGCATGAGAGAGAGCCCTGGCTATGCATGCTGCCCTGAGTTCTTGGGAGAAAGGCAACAAAACAGGTGTAAAACTACCATCCTGATAGTTAGGATCGCTCAGGAACAAAGCATCTGGCAATCCCTGGCATCTCCAGCTAGAAGGATTGGGTGATGTTCAAGATCTCCACCGGAGAGATTTGTTGCTAGTCAGGATAGTACCGACCTTGATAGACCAGTGGTATAGTTTGTGTGTATAGTTCTCCCCTCCCCCCCCGCCGCCATTCACACTGCTTAACATTCTCTAGGAAAAGAGATCTTTCATGTTTCTTGCTGAATGCACTATTATTGTTACATATGTTGATATGCTTTTCTTTTCATACTAACAACTTATTGGGATCTGGACCTTTAACAACATTTTGGAAAGGGTCATAGATTAACATATGCATTTTGTATACAGGCTTTTTCAGTTTTGATTTAAGGTGCTTCTGTTTGTGTGTTTTTTTTTTAAAAAAAATAGGGATTTCTAATAACAGGGCAGAGAAAGGCAATTATATATCTTTCTATTCTCCTTCTTTCTCCGTGCCTGGATCTTGCCTCTTGTTTTTTTCTGAGACACGACCCACCTCCCCAGATACCCTGTTCCTTTGGCCCTTGCTGTCAAGATTCCTCCTTTTCCTTTATCTTTAATTTTGGCTTCTAGGAAGAGTGAAGTTTTCTGTTCCCTAAACAAACTGTCTGTGTTTAGATACCATAAATGCAAAATGATCCTAAACATTTGTAATGTTTTTAATGAATACAATGTTTCTCTGTGTCTCTCTCCTCTTTGAAAGCTGTAATTAACACCTTTATAGCAAATTAGTTTTCAAAACCTGGCCTTTATTGTTACTATGGCTCATAACAGATAATCTCAACGGGCAATGAAAGTCAGGAGAAATTGGCTGGATTAGAGAGTGGGTGGAGAGCTGAGTATTTCTGCATATCGCAAATAAACTTTTCATTTGTTGTCTTGCTTCTCAATAAATGAGTCACTCCTTTCTGTTTCCTCTGTTCATCCTCCCTTCAAAAACTGTTAAAAGATAAAATCCCCCTTTACAAATCTTAACACATACAATTAATTCTCTTGGCTCAAAGAGTTTCTTCTATGGTGAGCAATCCTTTTCTGAAGTATCAATTTGTATTGCTGTAGCTATTCAAAATTATCATATTAACTTATTCTTTTAAATTTCTGCAGGTTTTCTCCCCTTCCTTTTTCATGATTTCCAGTATTTAGTGAGAAATCACTTTCACTAGTGATTCCTTTGTATTAATAATCAAAGATAGTAATCTGAGATTCAAGCAAACCATCCCCTCACTTTAACACATTTGTGTGCTCCTTTATTCTAGTATCGTCTCGTTCTGCATTCACGGCAAGGAAGGATGATCTAAGAAATCCTGACTGGGTGAAAGTTAGTATATCTCTTGGTTCCACAATAGCTATATGGGTTCTGGTAAGAATAATTTAAATAATTTATTAACTGTTTCAGAAATAACTCTTCCTTATTCAGTTACTTTCCTTAGTGAAGGAAATGTGATATAGTATTTTTAGGTCTCTCTCTTGAATCTCTGAGCAGTCACAGCCCCATTTCTATAAAGCAACTTGCACATATGTGTTTATGAGACTGGAAACATGTTATAAGATTCCAAAGTGAATTTTTTGTCTTTGCTACAGCATTCTAAACCAGAAGCCAAAAGACACTGATCATGATTCTAAATATTTGTATAGGTCCAACTGCAAAGATATCAGGAAAGCCCTGCTACTGCCAGAAGTCTTGCTTTGACTCCATTGGGCTGACAGACAAGAGGAGGAGGAGATTGGATTTATACCCCGCCCTTCACTACCCGAAGAAGTCTCAGAGTAGCTTACAAACTCCTTTCCCTCCCCTCCCCACAATAGACACCCTGTGAGGTCGATGGGGCTGAGAGAGCTCTGACAGAAACTGCTCTTTTTCAAGAACAGCTGTGCCAGAACTATGGCTTGCCCAAGGTCATCCAGCAGGTGCAAGTGGAGGAGTGGGGAATCAAACCCAGTTCTCCAAGATTAGAGTCCGTGCACTTAACCACTACACCAAATAGCACATTAGCTGTCTAAAGATAATTTTGCTTTAGCCTGTTAAAGAAAATTTGGTAACTGGCGAGAACCTTCACTGGTTGGATAGTTGTAATGAAGGTTAACAGCAACCATGGAAGTAAGGGGCGCTTGGAAATTGTCACTTGAATTCAGTCTCTTGGTTAAAACCCTCACACTACAATATTCTTGTGAACAAATAGAGATTGATTTTTAAATGTCGACTGTCTTGTCTTTAAATGCTGACCCGGTATGACTCATGCTTTAAAATGACGTGTTAAATTCCAGCTCTTAAAACAGCATAATGACGATACAAAAGAATATGAAAGGAGAAAAGCAGAGAAAGAGTCTTAGTAGTCGTCATTCGATGGTGAGTATATAAACTTAATACTCTGTGATTTGCCTTTCCTTAGGACCCATTACTTTCATTAGTAAACAGGAGCAGCCTGTCTACTAATTAGCCCTAGGTAATTGCTTAGGGGGCCAGTGCAGAAGGACATCACCTAGCCCTGCCAGCCTAATCCTGCCTGCCCCAGTATTGGGGTCTACCCTAGAAACCCCTGGCCCCTGTGTGTGGCCAGCAGGGAGCTGCTCCCTCCCTCCATCAGGTCCAGCCATCTTCCTCAGCTATCTTTCCCCATGGTTACAGCTGACAAAATAGGAGGTAAAAAGTGAAATATCTGCTGAGATGGATTGACTTGTCTTCTGCCATCACCTGCTATGTTTCAACAATAATAAAGAGTGCAGTCTCAACAAGTCATAAGTATAAATATACATTCACATTAATAAGGCAAGACTCATATATACATTCCAATCACACTGTAATGGAAACCACAGGAAATGTCATATACATTCAATAGTCCAATTGTTTTATGCTTCTTGCTTTCAAGTAGTCACTTGTTTCCAAGTAGTTATATCCAAGTATTTTCAAAGAGTAGAAAGCAATAATCCATCAACGGAATTTGCTAGCCTAAATGCTGCCATTTCATCAAGGCTTCTTCATAGATGGACAATCACCACATACTACAAAATAAAACATCTCATAAGGTTCTATTGCAGAAAAGCAATTGCATTATAAAAAAGCTACCAAATTATATCTAAGCACTCACCAACATGAGATCATCTTTACATTTCACAGACAGCATTCATATCTTCAAAAAGGTTTCCATACATTCAATTATGTGAGAACAGCATATCTAAAGCTTATATAGTTTTACTACTTGAAATCAAGAAGCATAAAACAATTTATATATCTTGTCTACAAAAGCATTTTAAAGCTTGTATATTACAACCATAAATGACAAAAATCTACTGTCTTTAAAGAAGCACTTTATTGATGGCACAGCACTTCTTTTTTCTGAAGATAATTAAATGTATATGAGATTTCCTGTGATTTCAATTACAGTGTGATTGGAATGTATACTATATGAGTCTTGCCTTATTAATGTGAATGCACTCCATTATTTTTGAAATATATACTCTCGTTAATATAACCAGGTTTTTTTCTGTATTATACAACTTTATTCCCATAGTTCTCTCCTTATATTGTATCACCTGCTATGTAGCTAGATGAGAAAGAGAAATATTGCTTAGAGCAGGGGTGTCAAACATATGGCCTGCAGGCTGGAGCCGGCATGTCCAGGGCTCTTATCCGGCCTGCGAGCAACTGGTCATTACCTTTATTTCTAGATGTCTCTGTATACCGTCCCAGTGCTAATGTGTAATGGGCGGTGGAAGTGGGAAGGTGGGCATCAGGGAGATAGTTTAAGGAAATATGATGAGTGTTAATGTTTAAAGCATGTTTGTTTATTGTTATAATTGGGTTTGCCTGTGTCCTTTATAAAGTTGGTTTCTCTGGTACCTGGGATTACATTTTAGGGCACACATGGCCCAGCCCAACAAATGACATTTTTGTCAGATCCAGCCCTCGTAATAAATGAGTTCAACACCTCTGGTTTAGAGTATGGAACCAGGATCTGAGAGACCAAAATTCAAATCCCTGTTTTGCTATGGAAGCTCATGGAAAGACCTTAGGCCAATTACTTTCTCAGCCTAATCTGTATCACAGGGTTGCCATGAGGATAAAACTGCAGAAGGGTTCCTTTTGAGAAAAAAATGGGGTATAAATATCTAAATACTACAAGAGAAAGGCAAGGCAGCTATGATAGTTGTCATCCCAGCTTCGGTGGTTGCAAACATCTGATTTGTGGCAGTGCTTGCAGATACTGCAGATCTCTAGACTGGCTACTAAAACTGATTTAATATTCACATGGTACAGTTCCCATACAGTATGCTGATTCAGGCACTTTGGATGGAGGCAATGCCTCCTGGCAAAGCCAGGACTATGCTTCATTTCTATAGTAAATATATCTGCCCTGGAAATAAATTTGCTCCTTGTTTCACTATTGGTTTGCTTTTAACTGGAGTATTAGTGGTTTACTTTATCTGAATGTGAACATACAAAAGATTAAAAATTTATAGTGCTGTATATCTCACTGATAAGGCAGATGGCAAAATAAATAGCTTATGCTTTGTCAATTTTCATTGTCAAGAGATGTCTCAAGCTTGTAGGCAATCACTCCCCCCATTTGCAAGTTGTAAGAGTTTGTCTTTTTGCTTGACATTTGGGGAAGGAGTGGATATGATTTAGAAGAGTCCGCATTGTGAGCCATATGTCATTGTGATTGCTATTACAGTATGGTTTCATCTTTAAAAAAATCTTTTCTAGGTTGAAGAAGCCCTCCTAAGAAGCTACGGCAGTTAATGCATACTGCGCAAGGCGATTACTAATTTAAGATAACCCATTGGTTCATATTATCTTCCTGATACAAAACCGTGACAAGAAGGAAAAGTAGCTGAAATGGTCATGTTTTATTTGGTCATTTCTGAAGCTTATAAATAAAACATATTACTCTTAAGACTTCTAATTTGATCTTTCTGTGCATAAAATAGTAACTAATTTGTATATGAAGCTCATTTGTTGAGGAGAGCAGTTCTCAAAGTGGTTCCTGAGAACACCACGGAGCCCACTGACACCTTTCATGGCACCCACCGAGTATTTATAAAGTGGGTGGGGCTTTTCCAAACAAAATTTCTGACTGGCTATTAGAGATTTGATTCGCTGAGCAGGTTTTTAAAAACATTCCTTTGGCAGCAGCTGCCACCACTGCACAAGGAGCTTGACTGTGTGTCCAAAGGTAAGCTATGGTAGCCACTTTGTGGCTGTCTCCACTTTCTGTGGCAGCCTTTTTGTGGCTGCACCCAGCATTGTTGAGGAATGTGCGTATATGTGCGTTTATTTGTGTTTGCTGGCACGCACACACATGGACTGTACCTGCAAGTACCTATGGGTTTGGGAAGACTGTGTGCTTTGCTTGATGTGACTGTTTCAACTGAAAGCTGCTATGGTGCCTGCACTTTCATGCTGATGACTTTGCACACACACACCCAGCTTGAGGAAGAAGGAGCCATCGCCATTATGGGTCAGCACAAATGACAACTTTTATGGTTTCAGCCACCATGCATAAACTGGAAGGACACACATAACCCTTGGTATCTGGTTTGCATCCAAAAAGACAGTTTCCTGTTGAATGGTCGTTTTATGGCTTGGGACCAGGCCACATCTCTCTACACATCAAAGGTTGCCTTGGTACCATCTTCACACCTTGACCAGATGCATTCCCTGAGTTAAAGGTTTAGATTTCCATATTGCCCCTTCCCTCCAGGTAGAGACTTCATCTCCTAGTAACCGATAGAGTCAGGTCATGGGACGGACCACAAGTGGGAGGATGGTACAGATGCCAGCCCCCTAAGATAGTTTATAAAAAGCGAGGTTCAACAGTTTGAGCCCTGCTAGCCATCTTTTACCTTAACTCTGTAACTTAAGCTCTGCTATAGGTAACTCTTACGTGTTCTCTTGGACTGCAGCCAGGAGGCCCACACGTGTTGGCAGGTTCCAACGGTGTGCAGTAGGATTCCTTTAGTTAGAATTTCTTATTCCTGTATTCTTCATTGGGAAGGTCAAGCTCCAGATCAGATAAGTATTTGCCGTTCCCCTTTCCCATCCATTTAGTGTAAAAGTGATATTTTCTGTTTCTTTATCTCTAAAGGAACCTTGTATGTATCAGTGTGTGAATCTGTTTTTGTATGTTTGTGAAACCAAGTATTATACAGTAAAGAGAACAACTGATTTTAATTCAAACACCGGGTCTCGTATCTTCGGGAAGATCCTCATTTCGGAATCTGGCCGGAAACCCCTATTCATTTAGTCTGGCCGCTGCGTAGATAAGCAGTTTGGCTAACAGTTCTGTGTCAGAAGTTCAAATGTGCCCACAGGCTCAAAAAGGTTGGATAATGGTTAGATATTCCTAATTATCTCTGTGTTAATTGCAGTCTTCATTGGTCATTTACAAATAAAACTTATTGATGTTGAGGATGCTTCCATAGTCTACATGGAGTCCTTAGGAAATGTTGCTGCTGTTTTTATGCTCTTACTTAGGAATTATAGGGGCAGCATAATCAGTAAGAGCAGCAGCTAGAACTCCCATGTTCAGTCTTTGGTCAGCCCAGTAGACCTTTTGAGTTTTTACAAACTAAAAGGGTGCTCTTTTAATAGCAGGTAGCATCATATATCATAAGTGAGATGTTCTGTGGATTTTCCTTATGAGACTTTATAGGGTTAATTTTTCTTTTTGGCCATCTATACTAGCAATCTGTATTGCCACTTGTATTTGATCCTAGAACAGACCTTTTGTGATTTGTTTTAATTGTTGTATGTTTTGTGACTCTTCTTTTCCAGCTTGGGAGAAATAGCTGTTGTACTGTTACATGCTCACTGACTGAAAGCCAAATTTGCATTATAGTCTAATTTACAATTATCAGCCTAGTTTTAATATGTGCCTTGCTGCATTATGTTAGCAATACTTGTTGAGCAAAGCTTCTTTTATACAAGTATCAACTAACAAAATTTGAGTCTGAGGTCAACCATAAATGATCTTGTTTGTAATTCCATAGTACACCAGTTTGTCCCTGAACTAGTTTAGTGGGATGATCTACTGATTTCAGTAAGAGTAAAATTTGGGTAAACATGCTTAAGATTGGAGCCTAATGCTGCCTGAGATGAAGAACACTGTGAATAGAGCAGGCTTGTAAAGACTCATTCACATGGTTGCTTATAACAGGAAGAATGTTTTCCAGTTCAGTGGGAGTTGATTCTTATTTGTTGTGGACCATTGATGCGCCATAATGGACATTTGGGGGCAGGTTGGATAAACTACATTTTTGTGGACCTCAGCCAGAGCAGAGGCACGTGATGTCAGTCAAAACTGAGCTGTGCCTCTTTAGAAGAGAATGCTGTGTGCATAAAACTGAACCACATTATTTTGTGCTGGACTGAAATTTCCAATAAAAACCCTCTGGTTCACTATCCCCTACCATATTGTATAATGAGACCTGGGTCCTGATCTTGGAAAAAACATGTTTCAAAGCTAAGCTGCAGATCAAATACAGTAGTATCCCTAACTAACAACACTGGCTTTCCACAAACCAGCTGGTGGCTGTGGCATTGGGTATCAGAATGTAGTGCTCCGGTATTTGCAGCATGCCCAGACTCCTTGGGGTGCTCTGTAGATTCTGTAAACGGCAGCAGCTGGGTCGCACGGGCGTAGCTACACCAACCCCTGCCCTGGGCGTGCTGAGTCAGGCGCCTTCTCAGGCAAGCGCTAGGCTTTCACCTTGGTTTGATGCCTCCAATTCCGCCGCATCACGTCTCTGCCCTTCGGGGGAGAGCTGGTCTACCCGGCGAGGAGCAGGAGGAGAAAGCAAGGGCAAAACCGGAGTAGGCTACGACAGAGGCAGACGATCTAAACGAGCCAGAAAGCAGGCCGGGCACAGCCCGCGAAGACGAGCCTGGATTGGGCGAGCCTTGCTCAGTCCCCGCCTCGGTCCTCCTACTTGCGTGAAGCGGCTGGGACTGGCTGTCATTCTCTCCTCGGCTAGTGGCGGCTCGAACCTCGGTGCGGCTGAAGCCCCGGCGGCGTCATTGCAGCCCCCTTCCTCCCCACAATGCCGCTTTGCAGGGTCGCTTGGCAGACTTTAACCTCTCGCTTCGCCAGGGCTGCGCCCCAACTTCGCACACGCGGTGAGTGAGGGCGGGGAAACTTATTCACGCGCCCAACGGTGGGGGCTCGGCGTGTGTGCTGCTGCGCCAGGTGAGCCGTCGGCGGCAGAACAAGCGTACAGCCTGTGGCCGGACGGGGGGGTGGGGGAGCGGGGACGTGTTTGCCTTGGTCGCTGTGCGCCGCCTGCGAGAGGAGACGTGAAGGTCATGAGGCTTAGGCAATGGCATGGAACTGAGCCCAGCCCGTGTAGGGCTCGTGTGGGAATCCTTTGCATTCGCCCCCCCCCCCCCCCGCACCCTTCCTCACTTATACATGGCGCTCACAATGGCCGAGAATTGCAAAAAACAAAACAAAAAAGTCCCAAACAGCAAAGCAGACACCCCGACAAGCCTTGTGTGGGCCCAATGAAACCTGCGCACAGAGGCTGAGCACCTGACACAAATTCATGCTGAAGGGTGAGAGAAACAAAACAAAAAAGCACCAACAGCAAAGCAGACACCCCGACAAGTCTTGTGTGGGCCCAATGAAATCTGCGCACAGAGGCTGAGCGCCTGACACAAATTCATGCTGAAGGGTGAGAGAACCAAGAATGTGGAAATAAAGGGCAACTGATTCTCTCTTCTTGTTTGGGCACATAGATAGAGCTGAGGTGGCACACCCAGAAGTACCCAGCACTGGGGTCAGTGAAGAAAACTTGCTGATTGTGTTCAATGCTGACAGGTTGCATTTATTCTAGCACATTCTCCATTCAGAGCAATGAGGGATTGGGGGGGGGGAGGGTGGCTGCCTAGGGTCTAAAAGGCTGGATTCTGCCATTGACATTGTATTTATGGCAGCCTCAGTCTCTACTTCTGGTGATATAACTTAGATAGAGGGTAGCCTTACCTATTAATTTGCTGCCAGTGGATGTTGTGATGGCCATTAGCATAGATGCAACTTGAAAAGGGGTTAGACAGGTTCCTAAGTCCATTAATGGTTGCTAACTGTGGTGATTATAGGGAATATTTGCAACTAGTGGCATTTAATATCTAAACACTAGTTCTAGGAAGGAGCATCGGAGGCCTGAATTCTCTCCAGTGGAAATCCAAAGTGGCTCACAGTATCATTCTCTCCTTCCCTTCATTCTGAGGTAGGTCAGGCTGAGAGATAGTGATTGGCCCAAAGTTTCATGCCAGACTGGGGATTCAAACCTGGGTTTATCAGTGGGTTTATTGGCATGCTAACCACTAGACTACACTATGCAAAATAATTAATTTTTAACTCTTGAGGTCAAGCATTAAATATGTGACAAAATAATATCCACATATTGATTTATTTATTTTGTTATTTATAGTCCACCTTTCGATTGGCCCAAAGTTTCATGCCAGACTGGGGATTCAAACCTGGGTTTATCAGATCTTAGGCTGGCATGCTAACCACTAAACTACACTATGCAAAACAGTGAGGCTGATAAAACAGAACACAGGTATTCAATAGACAATGCATTAGGATATTATAAGACTAGAACCACTGGAAAGAAAAGGAGCGTACCATAAGTATTAACATGACATATTAAGCAGTACAGAAATTACTTAAAAGGTAAAGGTAAAGCCAGTTGGATCCGACTCATAATACCCTATATACAGCAGTGAAGACCATAGGTTCCAATCATTTATCCAAGTAATTTTTAAAACTGTTCTGTGCAGCCTTATTACCTGTGCAGAAAAGCCCTCTTGAACAGTTTGGTTTTGCATAGATCATGGAACTCCAGGAGAGTGGGAGCCTTTCTGACCTCTCCGGACAGGCCATTCCACAACGCAACAGCCACAATGGAGAAAGCACATGTATGGACATCTAATTTCATGGAGAAACCTGTTCCATAGCTAAAAATCCTTGATTCCAAAAAATTCTTGGAACTTCAACACTGTCATTCTAAAAAGAATTATATCCTTCTAAGCACATTGATTTAAATGGGTTTAGCAGGATATAACACTGCTTATGATGGCAACTGTATGTGTCTTTAATTGCTTGGTGTCTCTCTTCATATGGGAAAAGAGAATGCTAGACAAAAAATCTTAATTTCATAATTGCTTTCCTAAGTAGATATGCATTCTGTAGTACAAAAGAAAGGCATGTGATATGGATTGTTGGGCTAGTTTTTGGTTTATGCTCCTGGGTAGTACAAAGGCATTCTGAAATTGCAAACATATATTTTGTTAGTTTCCATAGGAATTAAACAAATGATGAATCTTGCTTAGGAAATCTGTACATTGGGATGCTAGATCAGTGATTTCAATCAATCTACTACACCACAGTTAAAATCTTCCATAGTGTCTAGATGTCATGCTGTGTCTACGCTTAGATAAAATATTGGGCTGCTTGCTGTGAATATTGCAACTAATAACAACTCTGTGCCATAAAGTAACAAAGTATGTATCTACTCAAAGATAAGCTTATGTAATCATCCTGTCCTCAAAGCAGCAAGAGAATGATAAGACTTTAGAGCATTAAATATGTATGACCAAGAGTCTGAATTCTAAAATGAAAGATGCCTTAAAGATGTTTCTCTTTTAGATTGCTGTATTGGTTGTGATTTCCTAACAGGTGATATTCTGCGCTGGAGTAGAACTTTCCCCTGGGATCCATGTTCCCAATGCATGGCGACCTTTATGATTGTGGTAGTGAAGATGATAAAACAGCTAAAACATTTTAAGTTATTAGCTCAGTTTATTTTTTAAAAGACCCATAAGAACATATTGCAATCTACTGGTACAAGTATTAGTTTTGACATGTTATTCTAGCATATCAGCTGTGTGTTACATGAGCAAAGTTCCCAACTGCATTCTAGTTAGATAAGGCCTATGCAGAGGTGTGGAACATTGTCAGGGGAGAGTTGACAGGTAAGGGGGTGCTGGTGCCTGTGCCTTCCACGCTGCTTCCTGTTTTTCTTCCCTCTGGCCATTTTGCTCCTGTTTCTCCCACCCTCCAATAAGTGGGGGGGGGGGCTAAACATCTGGAGCAAGTTGCAAGGGTGGGAGAGCAGGAGACAGTGGAGGCTAAAAAGCTTTCATTCTCACTATTCACCTGTGTTTGCAGACGCAGTGGCTGCATTAGAAGTTCTCGTGTTGACCCTGCCATCTATTTGAGCATGGACCTGTCCATGTAACAATTATATTTTCTGGATACTACTGTGAAGCTCGGTGAAGGGTGCATAATCACCACCTAAGACCAGAAACCCAGTGACTGCCAAACATTCTTCCAGCTACAACTTGAAACACGCAAAATAATCTGTAATCTACAGCCAAATGCTATGTTACAATTGCATTTGTTTGATCCCTCCAACAGGGAATCTTACCTAGAGGATTTGCAACAAGCAATACCCACCTAATGAAGTAAAGATACAGATTGAAAGAGTCAGACTGGTACCTAGAGAGAGTATGTTACAAAAATATCTGGAGCAGATGTTGCCACCTATATCTCACAGTTCAGTGTATCATCAGTGACATTCAGACTCCTGGATAAGGGTATTTCTCTTTCACTGGCCTTGGGAAGAAGGCCCTTATTCACTTACATACAGCTCCCAAGCTAAAACACCTTCTCATCAGTAAGAATGGTTATAGCAGAGACAGAGATGCATGAACCAAATCCTGTAATACATCCAGATGCAACTTTATCCTCATATGTACTCTGGTAGTACTATTATGGGACCTAATAAAATTAGCATATACCATCTTGGGCTCATCTGCTTGCTTGTAATTCAGTTTAATATATACCATCATGCAGCAACAGTGCCCTTCTAGCAGACCCATTGGGCAAATGCACATAAAGCTGCCCTGAGCCTGCATTGTGGGGAGGGCGGGGTACAAATTTGAATAATAAATAAAATAATAAATTTGACATTTTAAAAAAATCATAGCATTCAGAAACTGGTGAAAGAACATTTTAATCTGCAGGCTGTTGCAGATCTTCAAGTCAAAGTTCTCCACCCTTTATGCTTCTACAAGTGAGCCTTAAGACCCAGACCACAGAACTAAAACAGCATCAGAAAATAGTGGGAAGCCCAATCTTGCCAGATCTCAAAAGATAAGCAGGGCTGACCCTGGCAAGTATTTCGATGGGACCTCCAAAGAATACCAGGGCCAGGAGGCAGAGGCCACTTCTCTGAACATTCAAAGAACTATCAAGCCACTTCTCTGAACATTCCCCATGCCCCAGTAGGAATCGCCAGAGGTTGCCATGACTTCCAGGCACACGCATGCAAAAATACCACACACAAAAAACAAATGACTGACCATCACACAGCATCCCAGCTTAAATGAAGACTTGGGTTTCCTAACTCACTATGGATGGTAGTAGTTCAGCAGCATAACCCACATTTTAGAGATGTTACTGGGTTCTCCATATCATGTTATAATAATATTATTATGCTGTATCACACTGTATTCCTTTTCTGGCACTTCACACTGCAGTGTACAATACAGGTGCCTGGTTTAACGAGTGTTTGTTTTCTACCTATGAACTTAAGACACAGTTTTAAATTCAGGTTTAGAATCCTGAAAATGAACTCTAACTAACCTGAGTGCCTGCATTTGTACATTATGGGTAACCAAAGTTTGTTTAAAAACTGGATTCTTTCACCACACTCCGTGTGGAAGAAAGAAGTAGGAGTGTCGTGTGAGCCAGCATATAAATGGGATTTGTGTACAGTGTTGGCTTAATGTGATGCTTGAATGCAGCTAATATGTAGTTCTACCCGTAGCCTTTTGCATAATCTTTGTGACTTATTAAACACCATATTCATTAGGTGAGATCATTTCAGTTGTAGTATTTTGACTGTACTGAGTTCATTTCTTAGAATGACATTCCTTTTTTTTAGTACCTTTCCGTCAGATGTCAAGTGTTCCTGGATCTTCTGGGGAGAATATGCTTTACAGTCTGTTTGTTGTTGGTGCTGCTGGTGCAGGTATTTTTTATGTGAGTACACTTTTCACCTATTTTTTTACTTTTCCATGAGCCTTTAAATCATGTCAACAATACTCTGTGTGAATATTTTATTATGGTACTAGGATTTTCTTTTAACTTCTTATAGTTACAGGCATGGAGATGATGGCAATGCTAATACTTTGTTCTGACAATCTTTTTTTAAAATTCTTATCTACATAATTCTTAGACAATAAATAGCTGAGGCTGTAATCTTAACAGGGGAGGAAAGGGCAGTGTGGTAATGACTTATATTTCTTTATCATTATACTTATTTGTGCCCTGTCCTGAATGACCCAGGTTAGTCCAATCTCATCAGATCTTGGAAATGAAGCAGGGTCAGCCCTCATTAGTATTTGGATGGGAAACCCCAGAGGAAGTCCAGGGTTGTTACCAATGCTCCCTCTAAGCTTGGCGTCTTGTGAACAAAAATTTTACTTTGTGAGCTACTGGCATTAAAGTTGTGAGTGAGCGATTTGGCTATTGCATAAATTAGTTTGCTCTGGAGCCATCCTTCCTGAGCTAAGACAAAAATGTATGAGCTGGAGGCTAAAAAACTGAGCTAGCTCACACTCAGCTTGGAGGGAACACTGGTTGCTACACAGAAGTAGGCAATGGCAAACGACCGCTCAATATCTCTTGGCTTGAAAACCCTATGGGGTTGCCATACGTCAGCTGCGAACTGATGGCACTTTCCACCACCATCATATTTATTAATTAAAATATTTACAGCTAAATAGCATTCAGTGTGGCTTATAATACAGAAATATGATACTGAAAGAACTGGTATGTTCTAAGTTTAAAAGCTAGGATTAGTTTTAGATTTATGACTGGAACTTATCCTAATTGTAAGAACAGGTTTTGATATAATCCTGGATCACAGAGCTTGGATATAAGTTAAGAAATGTAATTTAACAGTGATGTCATTTTTAAAAAGTAGATGTGTGTGTTTAGAAGTAGCATAGAACTTTGTACAGATTTCTCCTCCTTCATGGGAAATGCTTATCTTCTTGATTGAACGCAGAAGCATATGATAGTCATACAGCAAACCAACTCAATGAAAGTCTTGAGATGTTCATCCTTCAGAGTGAGTCTAAAGTCATTCTCCTTTCAGATGCAATGAGCAGGCTCAGTCTACTCTGAACTTTGAAGAGGGAGTGAGAGGTGTAGACAATAGGGCACCTGTCATTGAAACAATGGGAGTTATTTAAAAAGAACTATGCAATCCTGATTGGCTGGTTAGTCATACGGACTGTAGAACACAAAGGAAAAGATCTGAAATGATGGATCTGGAGAAGTTGGTTTTGAATCTAGTTCCAGGACCCAGTATATTCTAAATTTCAGTATACTCATCAAGTTAAGGGAGATCATGGTATATGTTCATCTTTAAAAGCGAAGTTACATCTGTACAGGGTCTCAGTTCAGATTGGGCCATGGGGGAGGTATGAGGGAGTTTCACCTTTCTGTCCTCACTTGTTTTATGTTTCAAAATCCATTCTCCTGTGCTGCTGTTAGACTTGTAAAGGAGAAGAAGATGGGTGCCTTGTTTGACCTTAGTTTGAGTTCAGTGGCCTCTTTAAGACCAACAAAGTTTTATTCAAGGTATAAGCTTTTGTGTGCATGCACAATTCTTCAGATACAGTGAAACAAGATGTCCTCAACCATTACATATAAGTAGGGGGGGCAGTTAGTTAGAGTCAAGATGCATAAGTAACTGGGAGATTGTAGCTGAGATTGGATTAAAGCGGTAGGTAAAATCTGTGAATAGCAGTAAATTAGCATACAAATACATGAGTTAACAAACAGATAAGAGAACTGAGTTTGAATCCAGTGGCATCTCCAAGACCAACAAAGTTCAATTCTGGGAATAAGCAAGAACTGAGAGACTTAGCATGTATAGATGCACACTTCTTAGATACCTTAATTACAGTGTTGTGGCCCAACCTATGCTGGCTGTGATTTCCCAACCCATCATTCCCAAGATGGAAACTAATTCATAAGGTTTACTAAAATAACCAATGGATTTTTCCCTCCAGCGGAAATGAACTCTGTAAAAGATGTACCAAACTCCCTATCAGTCAGAGAAGCAAGGTTTTTTAAAAAATCATTAATAAAGAACAACTTTGATACTGAAACTTAGAGCACTCTAAATTTCATCATTACACACAGGCTAATAAATAACGTCTCCTATGAAGCAACATTTCAGTAACATTTTATTATGTACTGGCTTTATGTTCCTTAAGATTTATATATTTTTGACATTTCTCCTCCATAAGTCTGATAATGTGTTTAAAGGTACTTGTACTCCATTTCTTCTAACTAGTATTAAGCCATTTAACTCAGACTTTATGAATTGCTTGGGCTATCATGCTCAGCACATTTACTTGGAAATAACTTCCATGACGAGAATTTTACTGACGAGTATTTGAACAGTGGTGTTGGTTCAACCATTTTTATAGTTGCTTTAAATTATGAAAGTAACACAGTTTAAATGTTATCCCATATATTAGTTATATATATCCTGAAAGCCATACCAATGACATTTGTATGTGTTTTAAAAAGTAGCAAAAAGAATTTAAAAAGCAGTATTACAGTTGCCCTAACCTTGTCCTTGACAAGATGGAAAATAAAATAAAAGGCTGTTCTTCATACAGCAGAAAGCAGTTTTTCTTAAACTTCAATTTGGCTTCTTTATAGTGGATTTCCAGTTGGTATGAGGTGAAGGTTACTTGAACTTTAATTTATTTAAAGCTTTGGCCTGAATGGATGGTCAGATCTTGGAAGCTAAGCAGGGTTGGGGAGACCACCGAGGAAGTTCAGGGTTGCTACACAGAGGCAGGCCATGTGTTGGATCCCCAAGCATCGAGAATAAATCCACGTTTTCAAGAAAAGCAAAATTTATTTCAAAGCATTGGAAAGACACTCAAACACGTTCTTTGTTAGAACTGACTACAAACAGTTAGGGCAAGCATAATAAAGGGATTTGAAACAGATACAGAACCAATGGGTCACTTTCCCGCTGGCGGGTGAAAGGAAACGGTTGCGCGCTCATTCCCTGAGAACCAGGCTATCTCCAGACATAACACAGGTGCTTTTCCATCAACACTATGAGATGAAGGTTAATAGAACTCTGACTTTAAAGCTTTTGCCTGAATCCAAGACACTTGTGAGGAACTTCATGCACACAGCATGGGTCCTGAAGACCAAATGATATGTTGCACTTAGGGCTGTCGGATCACAGATCTCCCATGTAACTAGGGTTGCCAACTGATCTGGAGAAAATAGAGATTTTAATAGAGGCTTAATGGCTGCGGTCACACGCAACATTAGCCACGCAAGAGATACGGAAGACAAGCGGAGTTTCCGGTCGCGATCTCACCAGCACATCTGGGAAGCGTAGCGCTTCCGTGGCACAACTGAGGCTTCCTGCCGAAAAAGCGCAGCAAAAAACTAGTACCTTGGAGGTACTAGTTTCCAGAAACTGCGGGGCAAGGGCGGGCGTCTGATCGCGTTTCCGGTGGTATCCGGCGCCCGCCCATGTCCCCTTGCGGAAAAGGGGTTTTTTTTCCCCACGTCTCCGTGGATGCGCACACGCACCCAACGGAGCATGCGCATTCGTAGTGTACACAAAAAAAGAACACCAGTTCGCCGCGCCGCGCGCTTCTTCATTGCGCGCAGGCGTGTGTTGTGATCGGCACCTCTCCCTTGCCATGGAACCTCCACAGTACCTCCACAGAACCTCCACAGTAGGTCTGATCGCTTTACTGCATGTTAGTTTGCCCCGGGGCAAACAGCCACACTTCTCCTCTGCAGTTTCCTGCCCGTGTGGCAGGGGCCAATGTGTGGAAATGAGCAGGTAAAGCTTTTCATGGCATGAAGATAAATATAATCCTATATATATAATTCCCTTACGTATTGGCCATTTCCAGCCCATCAACCACCACTCAAGAGTATTTGCATATCATTGGTTGGGTGCTGGGTCCGCTCCTCTCCCCCACCCACTGCCAGCCTGGACACTCTCCCTCACAGAATAAACTATGTCCTGCTTGGCTCCTGTGGGACTAAGTTTTCCCTCAGTGGCTGTTGCTAGGCAACCAGGCTTGGTTCTGTCAGTAAAAAGGCAAAGGAAGGAAGCTCTTTCCAGGCCTTTGTAGAGAACTAATTGGGGCCAGTCCTGAGTCCTAGGGTTGCCAGCTCCAGGTTGGGAAATTCCTGGATATTCTGTGGTGGAGTCTAAGGAAGCCAGTGTTTTGGGAGGGAAGAGGCCTCAGCTGAACAGAATGCCACAGAGCCCACCCTCCAAGGCAGTTATTTTCTCCAGGGGGGGAGAGATCTGTTTTCCGAAGTTCAGTCGTGATACCCGGCAATCTTTAGGCTCCACCTGGAGGTTGGCTACCCTAGGCGTAGCAGTTAGTGCTTCAGAGCAGGGTCTGCTAGACCCAGGTTCTTGCTGTGGAAGTTGAGTGGGTGATTTTGGACCAGTCAGAGACTTTCAGCCTAACCTACCTCACAGGGTTGTTGTGCAGATCAAAAGGGGAGAGGAGAATGATATAAGCTGCTTTGGTCTCCACTGCAGAGAAAGAGTACTTTTCCTCCTGGGGAACCATTGGTGCCAATCTCCAGGTGAGGGTTGGAGACCACTCAGAATTAAAACTGCTCTCCAGATGGTAGAGATCAGGGGCAGATAATGGTATGCTGATGGTTGGCTGGGAGGGAGATAGGGTTGCCAACTCCTGGTCGGGAAATTCCAGGAGATTTGAGGGGTGGAGCCTGAAGAGGGTGGGGCCTCAGACAGGTACAATGCCAAAGACTCTATCCTCAACACCAGCCATTTCCTCCCAGGGAGCTAGTTGCCAATCTCCAGGCTAGAGATCACTCAGAATTACAATTGCCCTCCAGATGGCAGAGATCAGTTCCCCTGGAGAAAACGGTAAGCTCTGTATCATTATACCCTGCTGAAGTCACGACAGCAAATTGACACTGAGTGCCCAAGGCCAGGGCACCTGTCCAGAGCCTCTTTCTAGAACTCATTGTATTTATTTCCACAATGGGCCTTATTCCTAGTTTGTTAAATAATATCCCATTAAGCCTCTGTTAAAAGGACAGGCCACTTTTTCTCCAGGTCAGTTGGTAACCCTAGATAATAAGAGATCTCTGGATAACCCAGTATTCTTATTTTAAGACTGGATTGCAGCGGAAACACTGGGAGAGGGAGTGTTTAACCCTTCCATCTGTGCTATTTTCACTGTATTTCCTCAAACTGCTATTAGCCCCATGGAATAAAAATATAGTATTTTCTCCCCAAAATGCAAACAATGGTTTATAGGTGGATTTAAACTGGGAAAATATTTCCCAAGACTACAGTGTTATTCACATTCAAAGTACCCTTTAGCTGATTTAGAGTTAGAATGTTGAGAGGTTTATTCATGGATATCATTTCTAGTGTGTTTTAGATTGATCCTGAGGTCCCTCCTCGCATTAGACAAACAGATGCTGAAATATGGGAGACTGGGGAGTGGTTTCCAATGCAGTGTGAGGAGTTGTAGTAGGTAAAAAAGAGGCAAAAATTCCTTTCTGTTCTGCCTAAATGTTGTGGCTTTAACAATTTTATTGTATTTTTATTTGTATTTTTAAAATGCTAATTTGCTGTTTTCTTGTATTTTTAAAATTCTAATTCGCTGGTTTCTTGAGTCTGATTACCTCTCCCCCCCCCCAAATTTGCTATTTATTTATTTAGGCTATTTCTTTGCTGCCTCTTCAGAGTCCTGCTCAAGGCAGCTTACAATTAAAATCACAATTACAATTAAAATCACCATAGGAGATAAGCAACGTAGAACTCTTGATGAAACAAAAGCAGATCTTTGTCAAGGCTAGGTAAAAAGATGTGTTTTACCTCGAAGGGGGAGGGCATTCCTAGAGTTGAGGTGACAATACAGAAAATACCCTGTCTCTAGTCACCACCTGCGTCATCTCTGAAGGCAAGGGCATAGAGAGCAGGGCTTGAGAGACAGATCTTAACTGGAGCGTTGTACAGCATGGGAGGAGATTGTCATTCAGGTTGATTGTGTATTGCCTCAGCACATTTTTAGTGGAGAGGGAATCTTATTTACTGTAGTATTTGTGAAATCACAGTACATCTGCAGCAATACTTTTGTGTAAGGGACTTGTTAGATACCAGCCTGAGTTTATGGAGGTGAGTGCTGTTATATAATCTATTTTTAGGCTTACAGAGTGATCATTTCGGATCGTGCCAGGTACAATGAGCGTATTGAACAAATTCAACAAAGAAATACAGAAGAATGGAAACCAAAACCCTGGCCCCCTCCATGTAAGTTCAGTATTTATTAATTTCGGTATGTATGCTGTTAATCTTCAGAGTTTAATAAAAACAGAAAGTCAGTATTTTAAATTGTAATAGTAAGGCCAAAAAGAGGAATTATATCCAACTACCTATCCAATGGATTTTTCACTGAAAGGGCTACACAAGGTTGCCATTGCCAACTGTGGATTGGGAAATTCCTGGAGATTTAGGGGAGGTGCCTGGTTTATGATGGGGAGGGATCTTAGCAGGGATGTGATACCACAGGATCCACCTGCTGCTGTTGCCGTTTTCTCCATGAGAACCGATCTCTGTAGTCTGGAGATCAGTTGTAATTCCAGGAGATCTCCAGGTCCTGCTTGGAGGTTGACAACTCTAGGGTGACACACAATGAAATTCTGGCTGTTCTGGAAAAGACAGGAGTTCCTATGAAGATGAGCTGTGAAGATATTTAGATGGGATGGGATGTGTGTTTTCTTGTTTTGCCAGATCATTCTTTTGATTCTATAGTAAATACAGCAAGTAGTTCACTTAATTTAATTAAAAATATTCATTTGACTTAACAAAGACAATAATCATTGATTTACAAATTACAAAAAACTATGATGACTGACTAATTAAACATGCCAAAATACATAATGCAACCAAAATCAATTTGTGCTTTCCGTGGGAGGAGATTATAGTTCCACTCAGTCAGCATTTTCATGGTTCAGGCCCTGACAGAAAACAGAAACTGTGCCCCGCTGAGCTATTTAAGATGTGTGTGTGTGTGTGTGTGTGTGTGTAGTACATTCCAGATACGATATCCAGCGAGTTGTTCACTACTGCTTAGAGAAGGACTGATTTTTCAGAAGCCACCTACAAATGTCTCTTTTCAATAGATAATTTTTTCTTAATATTTTAAATCTGTACAAATACTAGCCACTGGGAAGTCACAGAGGTAGTGCTCTATTTGAATTGTGTTTGACCAGCTTCCCATCATGACTGATAAGAGTTCAGCTTCACAACATATGAAGAAAAAGTGTCTCTGAATACTTACAATAAATTTATCACAGCCTTAAAAATGTTTAAGTATATCTCTGTATGTATTCAGAGACACTTTTTCTACGTATGTTGTGAAGCTGAACTTAATAAATGTATAATAATAAATAATTAACAGAGTTCATAAACTTAATAAATGTAATAAATGTAATAAATGTAATAAATGTATAACAGCCTTAAAATGTTTAAGTTTATGAACTTGGATGAATAATCAATGTTTTCTGCATTGTGAATTGTATAGTTTATTCATTACTATTTGAAGGAGGAAAGGATAAAGGTACATTATAGTTTTGTGAGGGTTCTCATTTAAATTGATGCATCTTGTATTACACTAAAATGGTTTCATAGGGTAACAGTTTTGCTTCCATTAAATTGCTGGAAATAATAAATTTTCCAGTGAATACTGGTAAAGGGCTGTTGTGATATTCTCTTTTAGTTTATAAATTACACTTTCCCACTGAAACGTAAAGCTCTATTTGGTTTTAAATTGCTGCTTTAAATATTTGAGTTCAATCACACTGTCGAGCTGCATTGCTCTCTAATGTTTCCAACTATAGTCCTGAAACCACTTGATTACAGTCACGGTGAGCTGTGCCATATGTAGTTGCTTGAATTGGAAAGTTTTACTGTAAAAAATAAAATGAAATGAATTAGTTGCTTCAGGACTTATACCTTGTTTCTTGAAAACATGTCGTTTATCAGGATGGTACTTTTTTGTGCAGTCCTAAACAGAATTACATCCTTCTAAATCTATTGAAGTTAATGGATTTAGAAGGGTGTAACTCTGTTTAGGATTGCACTGTCAGAAAAGTCACTGTAATCTTGCAGGTTGTTTGTACTTGGCACCTATTGAAGTCAGTATACCTGCAGTCTACAAATTAGTGAGTTTACTTCCTTGGAATTGAGCTCCACTGAATTTAGTGGAACTCACAAATAAACAAGTTTAGCTTCAAGTCATGTTGATTCCAATGGAATGTAGGAACAACTAACTTTTGGGCTGAGCCCAGTCACTGCAAATTACTTATGTAGCTCTCTCACTCTGCATCCTCAGATGTCTTATGTTGTTAGTATTTCTTGTGTCTCCTTATCTAAATACAATAAAATGCAAAATATCTGTTTTGTGTTTTCCCTGTTCCAGATTTTCTTCCCTTCTGTTTACAGTTATGTGAAATAATACTTCTGGGCTTGGTGCATTATTAATTCCAATGTTATCTCCTATTTTTTCTTCTCCCGGCTTTCTGTCCTTTTCCCCATGTGGTGTTTTTTGAGGTTATGGTTTTTCTTGGGCCATTTTTCAGAAATGACCTTGTTCTTCCTAAACTGTGTTGCTCAGATCCTTTAAATATGAAATTTACTCAGAAAAATAAGAATTTCTGTTGACTTTTTAAAGTATTCCATATTTCAAATTCTCATAATCTGGAAAACCTATTAGATTAGTTGTAATGTTTTTTATTCTTATTATACTTTTTTATGTTTAAACCCAATATATTTTGACTATGCATCCTAAAACTATAAAGTAATAATATAGTGTTGCAGCCTGAAGAGCCCAAACTAGCCTGAGCTTGTCAGACGCTAAGCAGTGTCAGCCATGGTTAGTACTTGGGTGGGAGACTTCCAAGGAAAACGTGGGTTGGTATAGAGATGAAGACAATGGCAAACCACCTCTGATCATCTCTTAACTTGAAAACTCCATGAGGAGTCCATTGGTTGCAACTTGATGGCACTTTATTATTGTAAGAATATAGCAAACATTTTTTTCAAGAACAGTGATCCTACAGGTATTCTTGTCAGGGATCCTGGGTTTGCTGCCATGTGAAATAGCATTTACTTCATGCTATTTTTATCCCATCATTCCTCTAAGGAGCTCAGGATGGGCTACATGGATCTCCTGGCCTCCGGCTCATCTTCACTACAACCGCATGATGTAGACTAGAGAGAGAGAATGACTGGCTAAAGGTCATATACTAAATTTCATAGCAAGAAGTGATTTGAACCCCAGACTCCTCAGTACTAATCCACTGCTCCAAGGCCCCATGTACACATTACAAAGTCATCGTGTTTGTTGGAGAAATAAGGACTTTCCATCACACATGCAATGGGAGTTTTGTGCCTCCGGATGCCACACCGGTTCTTTTCTGTTTGTGAATAAAGCAGAACATCATGAGAAGCAGCTTCAGCCTTTACAGCCTGCTGTTTTTGCATTTGCAAATTACCCCATGGAGTCCTTGTTTGCTCTGTTGCAAAACGTACATGTACGCAGGGCTTTTTTTCTGGGGGAATGAACCAGAACAGATTTTTGGAACCTCCAACAAAATTCTTTTAAAAATGTTTAAAAGTTCATGAGTTTTAGGTATACAGATGGAAAACTTTTTTTCCCTCTTGAGAGTTCTGGCCCCTTTTTTTTTTTTTTTAAAGCCCTGCATGTAAGTAACTTGATTTTTACAACTGAGACAATAGCAGCTCTGTGGGGTACAAAAAGGTGGGGTACAAAAACAGCAGAAGGTAATGCACCTATGGCACAACAATCCTATCCCACATGTGATGCAAAGTCTTTCTGTTGTTCCCCAACAAACATGAGGATTTTGTAATGTACAGGTGAAGCCTGACCTCTACAGTATGAACATGGTAGATTTTTTGGGGGGGGAATAACTTAAATGTCAATGGAAACACCCAGTAAAATTTGAATATATTGTTTATCATGAAAGTTAATTACACAATTTTGAGAATAATTAGTTTTTATTATCTTCTGAGTGATTTCATGTAATTCCACTTTCCATTCTCTTGTTTCTGGTTTCCTGTTTCCTGTCTTAATCTTTCTTGCATCGGAAAGGTTGCATTTAATCTTTCTAATTGTCGCTCTGCTTTTACACTTTCAGAATAAAGTACAAGGAAAATCTCTTTCCATACACAAGGAATAATTTTTAAAAGGACAGTCCGTCATTATGTATTTTGCAGCCAAACTTGAGAAAATCATCTGTGTGGGGGATATTTTTATCCCAACAATTATATCATTGCAAGCCTAAGAAATAGCACTATTTAAGGCATCCTGCT